GGGGTCTCCTCCTGCTGCTGCGCCGCCAGAGTACGATTTCTGTTCTCATCCTGAAGCAAAGTTCTTAACCTGAAGTACTATTTCTGGGTTAGCGGAGTCTGTAACCTGAAGCGCATGTAACCTGAAGCGTATGTAACCTGAGGTACCACTGTACTGGAAAGGTAAACAAATACCCACCAGGGAAGAATGGTTATGCAAAGCTGACGGACATGACATAAACCAAAAAATATAGCTAAGAAGCAATGGGACTGTCTGAATGAATATTTGAAAGACAAGGTTCAAGGGCAAAAATCTGGCTGTGTTTAGAATGATCTTGTGAATGGAAAGGAAAATGTACATACATATATATACATATTAAGAAAAGAATAATAATGAAATACAGGTAGGCATATTAAGTACGAAAGAAGTGCTGTGAGATCGGTGGAAGTTTATTATCTATTATTTATATAAAAAAGGTGTTAATGGTTTTTTACAGTATTTTTTTTTATCCATTCTTCTATTTTCTATTTCTTTCTTTCTCCTTTCTTTTATTCTTTTCTTTGCTTTCTTCGTTATTATTTTTTATGTATTGCTTTGTTTCGATGTAGTTACTATGCAATAAAAAAATAAAAAATAAAAAAAATAAAAAATTAAGAACAACCAGTAATCTTCCCTTCCGCAACAAATTTAAAGGGCACTGGAGGTCAACCAGCCAAAGGCCTGGTTAAAGAGGAAGGTTATTGCCTTCTAGTCTAACCTAGAGGTTACCAGAGCAAAGGCAACATTACTTTGGCCTTGCCTGGCCATGAGCCAAAACTGATGGAAGAAGCTCTGCACCATGGAGGCCACCTGAGACTCAAGCACCAGCCATTGAGCCTGACGTACCCCAAAGCTGTGAACCTGCTCCTTCAGAGGGGGTTCAGCCCCCTCAAGAGCAGACAACCTCCCATCCATCAGGTCTAAGGAACCACCCACAAACTGTGCCTCACTCTTGTCTGGATTGAGCTTCAGATTAAATGACTCTCATCCTGTCCATTACCAAGACAACAATCCAGCACACTCTTGCCTGTCACTCAATCCTGTCACTCTTGCAGGTGAAAAGGAGAAGAAGAGCTTTGTGTGATCAGCATATTGCTGACAACATTCTCCAAAACCCTAGATAACCCTCCTCAGAAGGCACATGTAGATGTTAAACAACATTGGGGATAAAATTGAACCCTGCAGAGCCCCACATGGAAGGCTCCCTGGGGCCAAGTGACATTCCCCAAGCATCACCCTCTGAAAATGACCATCCAAGTCAGACTTGGAACTTCTAGGAAGCAGTGCTGCTCAACGCCAAGTCAGACTGCTGCGGAAGGACCCCGTAGTTGATAGTATGGAAAAAATCAAAGAGAATTAACTGGGACACACTAACCCCATCTCTCTCCTAACAGAAGTTGTCATAGTATGCCACTAAAGCAGTTTTCATGCCCAAGCTGGGCCTAAATCCAGACTTAAAGGGCTCTAGAAAATTGTTTTCATGGCTCTGCCCATCACCACTCACTCAGAAACCTTGCCCAAGAAGGGGAGATTAGTGACCATCATTCCTTAAATTTATCAAGGGAGGGTTTCGTGGTCTTATCACTGCCTCATCTAAGCAGGCAGGGGCCGTCCCCTTGCACAAAGAGGCCTTAATTGTTGCAGAGAAGCGATATTGAGCTGCTTGGAAACTTAATCCCACGTAAGACTGACACCCTTTTAGGAATTGTCCATATGTTGCTTTAATATTCAGAAGCTTTACTTGCAGAACGGATGATAAAAGAATAATATAAGGAAGCACATTCTCAAAACATAAGCTTATCCAAGCATGGGCTCAGCTTCACTTAGCAAAACACAGCTTCTTGCTTTAAACCCAATTCTATATCTCTCCTTCTTCCAGATATGCTCTCAGACTTTACTTTAGGATAGAGGCCAGGCAGCTATTTTAAGAAATCCACTTTCAATTTCCACCCTTCTCTCTGTTTCACTTCAGAGACCTCACTCACCGCTGCTCTGCTCTCTCTCTATTCATTGGGAGAAGGAGAGTCAACACTTGTCAGGAACGAGCCAGCTCCAAGTGGCACTTTACAGCAAGCTGCAGAATACAGGCAGGAACAGAGAGGTTTATATTTGTTGCAGGCTGAGCAGAGGCCAGAGCTGCCAGCACCGACTTCCTTTGACCTTGGACAGCCAGTTGCCAAGGGAACCACTGAGAGTGGACTGGAACACAGCGAAAGCTCTCAGGGAGATCAAACAGGGGTGAACAGACACAGAGACAGTCTTTTAGAACAGGAAGAGTTTGGAGCTGGTCCAATAAGTCCAAATAGTCAGTGAATGGGAGGGCTGCTGAACAGGAAGTAAAAGAGACGTAAGGGGCAAAGGTTCAATATCTTCTGTAGGAACCAGAAGGAGTCGTTAGAAGGGTCATCTTGAGTAATAAGGTTGGCGGCTTTGTTAGAGCTGTCCAGAGCTATCTGTTTGTTTAAATTCTCCTTTTTAATGACCCTCACTTGATGTGTTATAAAGCCAGGAACCTGGACTCCTTACAACAGTGTTTCTTCTCAATACTGTCCAGAGAAGATCCCAAGACTTCTCTCCCAGCTGTGTCCATTGCTCAGCCATCTTCCTGCGCTGTGTCATCACAGTGAACTCACTCACACCGAAGGGAGTCTGTGACTTGGTGCTTCTCATGTGACAAGTTAACCGACCACACGAGAGCCACTAGAGAACGTACTAGAATTAGCTGTCTAACCAATCAAAAATCAAAGTGCTTTTGGTAACCAAACAGCAATATATATTTGAACATTCTTATTTTAGCCAATCAAATCCCCATACCGAACATTAATTCCCCCTCCTGACCAAGATGGCTGTTTTCTCCTTGCTTGTTTTTATCAGCCGGTAGGGGAAGGGACAAATACAAATGGAAGACAAAACTCACTGTTAGAGGTAAATGTAACTGTTATTGGAAAACACAGCTGTGTAAAGCAAAGTGTAACTCTATAAAGTATGAAACTACTGAAAGGACAACTGTAATAACTAGACAGGTAAATGTAAAAGCAGTACAGTGGTACCTTGGTTCTCAAACTTAATCTGTTCTGAAAGTCTGTTCCAAAACCAAACATTCCAAAACCAAGGCGCACTTTCCCATTGAAAGTAATGCAAAACAGATTAATCCATTCCAGACTTTTAAAAACACCTAAAACAGCAATCAAGGTACAGCTTATGATTGGTGCAGGCGCCCTGGAAACAACAGCCGACAGCCGCATCAGACGTTCGGCTTCCGAAAAACATTTGAAAACTGGAAAACTTACTTCTGGATTTTTGGCATTTGGGAACCAAGGCTTTTGAGTACCAAGGTACCACTGTAATAACCAAAACGTATCCTTTCTGCAAAATAATTGCAATCTATCAGCTTTGACAGATATGCACTGCCACTTACTGGGTCTACAGCTAAAGCCACCCATTCACAAGTTTCAGCTGCTTTATTGAATGGTTCATTCAGAAAACAGTGCAAGTCATTCATAAAGAATCAGCAGTTCATTCATAAATATGTCTGCTGTATTTTCGCAGCTACAGGAACTAACAGGGAACGCATGGCTCCTTGGTTTTCCTTTCTTCTCTGAAGGAATTGCCACGGGCACGTCCATCAGGTCTGTCCCTGCAACCACAACACAATACAAAACCCACCATTCCTCTGGGAGCCAGCTTTCTCTTCTTCATGGAGCTGGGAAGGTTCATAAGAACCCAGGTTAGGAATCCTTGCTTAGGAGCCACACTGAGAAGAGCTGGAGAGAACTTCTAACACCTTGCCAACCATTCGTCCCCCAGTAGAGCCTTTCCCTTGGCTGCTTCCATCACCAGGGACATCTTACTGTCTGCAAGTCCAAGGATGTTTGACCACACAAGAATGGAACTGCTCCAAGAATGCTGACATCAAACCCAAACCTCACACTGCTGGGTAATCGTGAAAGCCCAAGAAAGATCTTGTGTATTATTTCCCCTTGCCCCATAAACAGGTAATAATTACAACTTAAACCTTCAGGTTGTCTCTGTCGCTCACTTTCTAAATAGCAGGATCTCATTGGCTTTTCCATTCTCATCTGCCACAACCACATGCCTTTTATGTTTCAAGTTGCACCACTGCATTTAGGCCGTCATTGTCACCTGCTGGGTCCCTCACATTGCTCTCCTACTTTTAGATGACAAAATTCATTTCTCCATATGCATTTCTCTACATCTTTACATATAACTAGTCAGATTAAGCTGTTGGTTTATGCAAGAAGGGTTTTCTGAAGTGTTTAGAAACATAAATGTCTGGCAAACACTAACCATTTTTCTATTTTGTGAAGAAATGTAATACCTGTATTGCACCTGAAACTGGAGTTTGCATTATTCTATCTGTATCCTCCCTCCCCTGAACTGGTGTACAAGGACACACCAGTTGTTGTTGTTGTTGTTGCTGCTGCTCTTGTTGTTACACTCCTAAGATCCAAAATCTTAAAAATCAGGTCTATGTTGGTGACACATGTACACTTGAGGAAAATGGGGCATGTGGGATTGAGGAAGAGATTTGGAAAAACTAGGGAGCTCCCTTCAGATTACCAGTTTGCAGGTGGGCTGCTTGCTTTCCTATGACTTGCCATTCCCAGTGCATGGCTGAACAAGAAATATGTATGATTATTTTGCTCTTATCATTTTGTCTCACAGAGCACAATGCTTTAGGGAGATAATTGTGGAACCAGCAATTATTTCAAACTGATGGGTTACATCATCCATCTTGCCAAATCTCATGTCAGACCATGAACACAGTCAGAGTGTTAAAGCTTATATTAAATAAACCCTGTGAAATTCAAAGCCCCAGTGAGAAATTCTGAACACACAGGATCTCATGGGTCAGATATTCGGCACTTTCCCTTAATCAAATTAATCCAGAGCCATTCAACCTAATTCAATTTATGGTGGATTTGAGAGAAATCTGTCTTTCTACATAACTGTTGGTCAAGATGGCAGGGACATTTCTGCTGCTGATTCTTCTCTTCCTGTGGCTGCAGGTGCCTCCAACTGAGTGCAAGGAAGACTCTGAGGGATGCACCATGACGGATCCTTTCCAGTTTCCATACCAGTATTATCAGAGAGGGGATCTTATCATTGGAGGAATTGTTAATGCTTTTGGCTGTACATCTGAAGAAATAGATCTCCATGACCACCCAAACACAAAGTTTACAGATGAACTTTTGTAAGGAAATCACTGTCTCCTTCATAGTGTGCACTTCTATATGCTTCTATAGATTACAACTACACCACACAAACCATGCCATGCTCATAACACATTTGACTTTTTCCATGTATGAAGGTTAAAATTACATTTTCTTCTCTTTATATTGTGATCTTGGCATCTTCTGTGTTGCTTTATTCCTTATCTTGAGTTTTCTGTCTTCTGCCTCTTCTGCTTTCTCCTCACCTGTTCTCATGCTTGATCCTCTTCCTCTCTCTATGTTTCCTTTCACACCAAGGATGGATGATTTTACTTTGCAGCAAAGCTTGATCCCCTCATTCACAATCAGCATCATTTAATCTGACAGTCACAGATGTTGTGAGAAAAGAATATCATAGATTCTGGATTATATTCCCAGCTGTACCATTTAAATAATATTGGGTAAAAATTACTGAAGTGTTGCAAAGTATCTAACTGAGGTCTATGCAAATTAGGCCAACTTTGTCTGATCTATTAATCATAAGAGATAAGAGAATAACTCAAGACAGAGCTGTTCCGCCTGGCCTTTGGTTTGGACTCAGTCTGACCCTTATGTTTCCCTCCCCTTATGGTTTTGATCTATGGGCTACTTTTAAAATGAGGCTGCATTTTAAATTACATTTTAACCTGTATTTTAAATTGTACCCCCCCATTATGTTTTTACTGTAATTTTATTGGTGTTAGCTACCCTGAGCCCAGCTCTGGTCAGGGAGGGCGGGGTATAAATTATTATTATTATTATTATTATTATTATTATTATTATTATTATATGTGTGTGTTACAGTATGTGAATGTTCTGCACAAATGCTTTTTAGATGCTATATTCCTAAAGCTGACTGAATACTGACCGTCGATTTCCATTATCAAATGTTAGGATGTACAATGCATATGAGGTTTTTTTTGCTTATTTGTGTTATTTAATCTTTCGGAACTTGCTGGAAAATGTCAGAAAAAATGAATATCTCTGACACACTGTGCAACACTTTTATTAGTTCAACACTGAAGTACTACCAGAATACCCTCTCCCTGGTGTTTGCTGTGAAAGAAATCAATGAGAATCCTAACATCGTACTGAATATGAGCTTTGGGTTCCACCTCTATGATAGCTTTGGAAATACAAGGATGACTTATCAGAACACCCTGAAACTTCTGTCAATCACAGAAAGGATTGTCCCCAACTTCAAATGTGACAAGAAAAAAAATATGATTGCTGTTATTGGAGCACTTGACTCTGACATCTCCCTTTACATGAAGACGATCTTAGGCATCTACAAGATTCCACAGGTATAATAATAATAATAATAATAATAATAATAATAATAATAATAATAATATCATCTATATGCCATCCATCTCACTGGGTTGACCCAGCCACTCTGGGTAGCTTCAAGCAGGTTATAAAACCACAGTAAAGCATCAAACATTAAAAACTCCCCAATACAGGGCTGCCTTCAAATTTCTTCTAAAAGTCAGATAGCTCCTTATTTACTTGTCCTCTGAAAAGATGGTGTTCCACAGGGCAGGCGCCACCACCAAGAAGGCCCTCTGCCTGTTTCCCTGTAACCTCACATCTCGCAGTGAGGGAACTGCCAGAAGGCCCTCGGCGCTGGACCTCAGTGTCCGGGCTGAACGATGGGGGTGGAGATGGAGGCTGAACGATGGGGGTTTCACAGGGCTGTTGAAGGAATGACCGTGATGGCTCCTCCCAACCAGCTGGTTTGATCTATGCAGGCATTAATTTAGCTATGAATGTAGGTTTCTCTTAGGGCTGCCTTCAGATGTCTTCTAAAATTCAGATAGCTGTTTATTTCCTTGACAGCTGTTGGGAGGGCATTAAACAGGGCAGCCTCATAGACCTGATATCACTTAAGAAATATTTCATTTTCTACATAATTCGTTGTGAATGATCAACCTGACCAAGATGTTGTCAGTGATGAATAATGGATTCAGTGGTTTTATGTTATAAGACTTCTAAAACAAGGAATTTGTACTTCCATTCATTCAAGGTCCTGCAATATACAAAACTATAGAATAAATTCAATAAATTGCCATGGTATCCACTTCAGGCAGTTATGTGGGATGAATCCTAACCATTTGATATAACTCCCCAATTATTGTGAGGCTGATTTCTTCCTTAGATTGCTTATTGTGTATTGGCTCCAGTGAGGAGGACCGAGTTGCAGCTCCAAACCTTCTTCCGAACGGTGCCCAATGAGAAATATCAATATGCAGGGATTGTCAAGCTACTTCTTCATTTCCAATGGACATGGGTCGGACTTCTTGCTTCAGATGATGAAAATGGAGAGAAGTTTATGGAAATCTTAGGGCCAATGCTTTCCCAGCATGGAATCTGCACAGCCTTCAATGAAAAAATACCAGCCTTTTCTCAAGGGATAGATTATTTCAGTTCATTGGATCTCTTTAAGACTAAGTCCTCTTTCCTGATGATCTCAGAAGTCAATATATTAGTTCTATGTGCAGAACCTCCAACCGTTACCAATGTGAAATGGATGATTTATTTTTCTTCATTAGCTGAAGATATTGCAGAGAATTCTGAAGGCAAAGTGTGGATTTTGACAGCCCAATGGGCCTTCTCAGCAGATACAATGCAAAGGTATTATGATATTCAAGTCTTTGATGGTGCCCTGTCATTTGCAATTCACACAGAAAAAGTCCAGGGATTTACAGAATTCCTTCAGACCCTAAATCCTAATTCTCCAAATGGAGATGGATTCATCCAGACTTTTTGGGAAAAGGCATTCAACTGCTTATTTTCTGTTTCCAATGAGCCAAATGAAATCAGAGACACATGCACTGGCAAAGAGAGTCTGGAGAGCCTTCCTGGGCACATTTTTGAAATGACCATGACTGGTCAAAGTTATAGTACCTATAATGCGGTTTATGCCATTGCATATACTTTGCACAAGATTCTCTCATCCAGACCAAAACACAGAAGGATGGCAGGCAGAGGTGGACTCCATCCTCCCAAACTGCAACCTTGGCAGGTAAGATTTCATATTTGGAATAAATCTTTCCTTCAGGCTAATATATTGGATGATGACACACATCCATAGAATGAATACACCTCTAACAGCATTTACCTCTCCCAATATAAAAAATGTTCTTTTCAGTGCTTTCCTATTTTCCCTTGCCTTTATGTTGGAGCCAGAATCAATACATTCCCTGTACTTCCCCTTCAAGTTGCAGAGGTGGAAGTATCTCTTCCTGCACTTCCTCACACAGAAATGTCACCTCTTTGTCAAACTCAACAATGTTGTGGGAGGAGCTGCATGTTCTGCTGTCCTATGTGTTTGTGATGCTGAAATGTCAGGAGTAGTGAAGAAGGAGGCATGTTAAACTGGGCCTCGTGATCTGTTAATATCAGAAAGATCGTATGTTTTTATTCAGGAAGAACCTCTCCAGAACATCCCTTTGGCAACATCTCACCATTTGACATTGCACAAACCACTGGTGTTTGTCTCTCTGCACCCTAAATTAATATTTTTCTATAAAACCACTGAAAAACCTCCAACATTAAAAACTTCCCTGCAATATGAGTACTTTAAAAACCCTGAATAGATGGCAAGCCTCATAATGCATTCCATATAAAAATGGTTCTGAAACTAGACTTGTTTCATTATCCATGTGATAATGCACAAAGTCAGGAAGAGAAAGGAGAAATATGAAGAATGAAGAATGCATTTGAAATTATATAGCTTTGTTTCTACCACTGGCTGTGAAAGCATTCTGTCCACCAATAACAACTATCTTTTACAGCCTGCAGTTGTTTCTGCACCAAAAACGAACTTATATGGCTGTTTTAAAAGTAATTGCACTTCCCTCCCAAAGCCAGGTGAGCAAGGCAGTGCATTCCATGCCAGCCTCAGGGAAGGAGGCACAAGGCCACTGCATGCATCCCAGAGGCCAGCAAAGAAGGTGCCCCCTTGCTTCCCAGGCTGTGGGGAGGTCCTGACAGGGCTCTGGGAACATCCCTGGGTCCTCCTACAACCTTCCCAGAGCCTAGGATGCCCCTCCCCACCTTGTGGAGGGCAGTTCCAGGGGTTCTGGCCTTTGCACGATTTTTCCTTTGCACATGGAACCCCAGAGCTGAATCCTCAAATGCTTAAGTGACTGGCAAAGTGTACTTCCCAGAAATCTATATGTGCTCCAATGTTGGACCACACCATTTTTTACTCCTTTCCATTGTGTGACATATATTGAGTGATACTTTTTCCTTTCTAAAACCAATAAAGTGTCTCCCTTTTTACTTTTTGAACTTTGACTTGTTTTATGCTGTCTAGCTCCTGTCTTTCCTGAGGAGTATCTCCTTCAACAATAGTGCTGGGGACTTTGTGTCTTTTGATGAGAATGGGGAATTGGCAGCTGGATTTGATGTTCTGAACTGGGTTACTTTCCCCAACCAAACCTTCTTGCGAGTGAAAGTAGGAAAGACAGAACCACAGAAATCCCACGATGTCGACTTCAGCATGGATGAAGAAGCCATCACATGGCACAAAGCATTCAGTCAGGTGGGAGTGGACTCTTGGTTTTTCATAAAGGGAACATTTTTATTATTATTCAGAATACAGTGGTACCTTGGGTTAAGAACTTAATTCGTTCTGGAGGTCCTTTCTTAACCTGAAACTGTTCTTAACCTGAAGCACCACTTTCGCTGATGGGGCCTCCCGCTGCCACTGCGCCGCCACTGCATGATTTCTGTTCTCACCCTGAAGCAAAGTTCTTAATTCGAGGTACTATTTCTGGGTTAGCAGAGTCTATAACCTGAAGTATCTGTAACCCGAAGCGTCTGTAACCCAAGGTACCACTGTAAAAATACAAGAATAAGGTATGGCTTTAATAACATTCTGAAGTTCAGTTATTGCATGAAGGGAATACTACAAGAGAGTAAGATCTCCTGCCAGTCTTAGCCAGGTCACATTAATGTAGGACTAAAGGTAAAAGGGAAGGCAAATGACCCCTTAATGATTAAGTCCATTGTAGTGCTTGTCTTGCTTTTCAGGCGATGTCTGTAGGCAATGTCTGCAGTTTTTCTGCAGACACCTTTCCAGAAAATGTGGCCATCATGACTAAACCGCTTCTGGCACAAGAGAACACCGTGATGAATGCCAGAGTGCAGGGAAACTTTGTTTACCTTCCCACCACAGTGGTACCTATATATCAACTTGCACTGCTAGGTTGGCAGAAGCTAGGACAGAGCAACGGGAGCTCACCCTGTTGTGTGGATTTGAATCGTTGACCTTCTGATCAACAAGGGGCTCAGTGGTTTAGACCACAGCACCACCGGAGTCCCGAATGTAGGAGTAAATCCTATGTTACCAAACAACACTTATTTTTCAGAAGACAAGGGGAGGATAAGTTGTTCATTGGTGCTGAAGGAAGCGTTTTTGTCTTGTAGTGTTTCTCTGAGCTTAATGTATATGCTTCCCATTTTGCCTTCTCGGCCAACTCCCTGTATTTCAGAATAGGTTGTCTTTCCCTGTCCTCTTACCACCCACCGTCTTATACAAATGAAAAATTTAGTTTCCCTTCTGTTTCACTCCCAGTATTTATATTACAATTTATTCATGCATACACCACTTTTCTGGAATAACATGAATCTGCCAAGTGATCTCATCTCTCTGGCTCAAACTGTGTTCTGTACCATGCAAAAGGGAGCTTCCTCTTCTCCTCTCTTTCTGGCTAGGTGCTGCCCCTTGGTTTGTGCAATGATCGGTGCCAGCCAGGCTACAGCCGGAAAAAGAAGGAGGGGCGGCCATTTTGTTGCTATGACTGTGCTTCATGTCCAGATGGGATGATTTCAAATGAAACAGGTAGGAGACATCATCTGCTCTTTTATAAAATGCTTCCTAGTCTATTTCAACACTTTCCCCTTATTAACAGTTCAGTACTCCAAAGAGAACAGCAGTTGCCCTCAGATCTGGAAGAAAGAAGACTGACACAGGGAGTTGGGCAAACTAGAGCCACAACTTTAACATTGACAAAGTAGATCTGTGGAAATAGGTGTGGATCATGCACAGTGTTCTTTTCCTGCTCCCCACCTGCCACAATCTGTGGAGTCAGGGAAGACTTGCCTAACCCTCCATGCCCAGAGTTTTAGGGCTGAGAGCCAGAAACACAAAATCGAATTCTGCTGCTCCAAGGTAGCATAGTGGGCTTCTCACTTTTCAGTAGAGATGACTGTTCGCTCTTTCAATGGTCCCATATTAACAGTCGTCAATACTTTGCTTCCTAAATTCCTGATGATGTGATTGATAGCACCTACAGTCATACCTCGGGATACAGCAGCTTCAGTTTGTGTTTTTTTCAGGTTGCGGACTGCCGAAACCCGGAAGTACCGGAATGGGTTACTTAGGGGTTTTGGCAGTCATGCATATGCATAAGCCCCGAATCGCAACCCTCGTGTGCGTAGACGGGCAGACATGGGTTGTGAACGCTCCGGGTTGCGAACATGCATCCCGCACGGATCATGTTCACAACCTGAGCATCCTCTGTATATGATTTATGAAGAAAAAGAAAAACCAGAAACACAAAATCAAATTCTGCTGCTCCAAAGTATCAATACTTTGATTCCTAAATTCATGGTGATTTGATTGATACCACCTTTATGGTTTTTGAAAAAGAAAATACCCATTGCATTTTACTGGTTTCCACTTATCTCTGATACTTGTTTAGAACTAACTGATGGCTTAGAATTGTGTTTTGGGGGCAGAACAATATTTCTTTCAAAGGAAATTTGAGATACCATTGGGGATGGAGGAATACATTACAAAGAATGAAACATGCCTGTAGGAATAGGTTGCCTTGTTTGTTGGAAGTCATATATCATTCATTTGATTTTTTTAGATACGGATTATTGTTTCAAATGCCAAGAAGGTCAATTTCCAAACCACAACAGAGATCAATGCATTCCCAAGAGACAAAATTTTCTTTCCTACGCAGAGCCTTTGGGATTCACATTAGCTGCCTTGGCTCTGCTCTTCGCTCTGGTCACAGCCTTGGTTCTTGGCGTCTTCTCTAAGAACAGGGACACTCCCATTGTCAAAGCCAACAACCGGGACCTCACCTACACTCTGCTCCTTGCCCTCTTGCTCTGCTTCCTCTGCTCCTTGCTCTTCATTGGCCAGCCTCACCCAGTGAGCTGCTCTTTACGATCAAACCGCCTTTGGCATCATCTTCTCCATTGCGGTGTCTTGTGTCTTGGCCAAAACCATCACGGTGGTTCTGGCCTTCATGGCCACCAAACCAGGATCCAGGGTGAGGAAATGGGTGGGGAAATCTCTGGCCAACTCTGTTCTTATGGGTTGCTGCTCACTTCAGGCCAGTATTTGTGCTGCTTGGCTCTGTACGGCTCCTCCCTTCCCAGATGTGGACATGAACTCTCTGGCGGAGGAAATCATCATGGAATGCAACGAAGGCTCTGCCCCCATGTTTTATTGTGTCCTGGGTTATCTGGGATTCCTGGCCAGTGTCAGCTTCACGGTGGCTTTCCTGGCCAGGAAGTTGCCAGACAGTTTCAACGAAGCCAAGTTCATCACTTTCAGCATGTTGGTGTTCTGCAGCGTTTGGCTGTCCTTTGTTCCCTCTTATCTGAGCACCAAAGGAAAGCAGATGGTGGCTGTGGAGATCTTCTGCATCTTGGCCTCCAGTGCAGGCTTGCTCGCTTGCATCTTCTTCCCCAAATTGTACATAATCATTCTGAGGCCCGACTTGAACAGCAAAGACCACTTGATTCTGAGGAGCAAATAAGAGTCAACTTGTGTTGATGCCTTTTATTCTTGCATTATTAGAAAATGTAGATATTTGTTGGAATAAAACTGGTGAAGGAAATCCCTTGTGTGTCCCAATTCTTATCTTTTTTCATAATCAGTTTTTTCTCTCCTCTCTTGTCACTGTCTATTTACATACAGCATTTTTCACAATCTGTGCTGAAAGTGGTTCACACACAATTCAAAGTCTAAACACAGTGTGTGTGTGTGTGTGTGTGTGTGTGTGTGTGTGTGTGTGTGTATATATATATATATATATATATGAACATTGGGAGAACATGCTACATCCAGTCCATGGCACATCTAGTCCTGCATCCTGTTCTCACAGGGGCCAACCAGATTATCATTAATACTAGTATTTTTTCAATTTGTATACCATCCTTCATTTATGGTTACAGTTACTGTACCCCATCACATTGATTGGGTTTCCCCGGCCATTCTTGGTAGCTTCCAACATATATAAAAACATAATAAAACATTACATACTTGAAGGCTTATCGATACAGGGCTGCCTTCAGATGTTTTTTATATTGGTATTCATCTCCTTGACATCTCATGGGAGGGCGTTCCCCAGGGAATGCCCCACTACCCATAAGGCCCTCTGCCTGGTTCCCTGTAACCTCACTTCTCGCAGTGTCAAGGACTGGGCAGAGGAGGAATGGTGGAGACTGCCTCTCCAGCCCAATCCTTCCAGGGAAGAGGAAGAAGAAGACAGTTTAGATTTAGAACAGGACTTGAGAGAGGTCACAGCTCAGAGGCAAATGAGGGGGGAAGTTGGGAAATAATTATTTGGGAAATAATGGGAGAGGAAGAGGAGGAGGAAGTGGGGGGGAGACAGTTGATGAACAAAATTTATTGTTAAGATGACATGTAGAACAATTAAGTAGTGCAATAAATCATCAAAATACGGAACTTGGAAGACTGGGGGCTGAATCGCAGAGGCGTTCAGTGAAACACCCCAATGACCCCCCCAAAAAAAAGTTCAATGGAGAGACATATGAGTTCCTTGGGTTTAAAGCAAATGTGAACATGTTTTTCAAGGTGAGGGAAGATGATTTTCAGACAGACCAGCAATGCTTTTTTGTATGATTAATCTTCTGGAAAGAGTTGCCAGGTGATTTATTGATTAATCAGTGTCCTTGTTTGTTGAGATTGGACAGCTTTATGACTTACCTCAAGTCCATGTTCCAGGACCCGAAGCAGAAATCTGCATGTACACAAAAGTTATTGAAGCTGAAGCAGGGGTCTAACTCAGTAATGGGGTGCAGTACAGAGTTTAGTTTGCTGTTGCAGGAGCTAGTGTGGAATCAGGAAGCCTTGATGGCTATTTACCATACAGGGCTGAGTGAAACCCTCTTGGATGAGTTGGCAAGAATGGACCCCCCCCCCAGTTCCCTGGAGGCGTTGATGCAAGCGGCCTTGAGGTTTGATCAGAGGAAGCAGCAGAGTTGTGAGCCCTCATCGACTCAGGTTCCTCAGCAGATTTTCTTGATGTCGAATTTGCTAAGGAACAGGGCATACCCATGCAGAAACTGTCGAATCCTTTGGAAGTACAGACCATTGATGGAAGACCCCGGTGTCTGGGGTGATTTCTCACACTACTGTGCTGTTGTCCCTGGAGCTACCAGTTCGTCGAGAGCAAGCTACCTTCCACTTGGCAAAGTTGGCCACGTTTTCTACCTCCCCTTAACCGGTGTACAAGGATACACCAGTTGTTGTTGTTGCTGCTCTTGGTGTTACACCACTGAGGTTCAAAATCCTAAAAATCACGCCTCTGTTGGTGACATACATACACGTGAGGAAAATGGGGCATGTGTGATTGAGCAAGAGATTTGGAAAAACTAGAGAGCTCCCTTCAGATTACCGGATTGCAGGTGGGCTGCTTGCTTTCCTGTGACTCGCCATTCCCAGTGCACCACTCAACAAGAAATAAGTATGATTATTTTGCTCTTATTATTTTGTCTCACAGAGCACAATGCTCCACGGAGATAACGTCGGAACTAGTAATTATCTCAGATTGCTGGGTTTCATCATCCATCTTGCCAAATCTCATCTAAGACCATGAACACAGTCAGAGTGTAAAGCTTATATCAAATAAACGCTGTGAAATTCAGAGCCCCAGTGAGAAATTCTGAACACACAGGATCTCATGGGTCAGATCTTTGGCACATCCCATTTATCAAAATAATCCAGAGCCAATAAACCTAGTGCAATTTATGGTGGATGAGAGATAAATTTGCCGTTCTGCATAACTGTTGGTCAAGATGAGAGAAGCATTTCTGCTGCTGATTCTTCTCTTCCTGTGGCTCCAGATGCCTCCAACTGAGTGCAAGGAAGACTCCGAGAGATGCACCATGACGGATCCTGTCCAGCTTCCATACCAGAATTATCAGAGAGGGGACCTGATCATTGGAGGAATTATTAATACTTTTGGCTATGCATCTGAAGAAAAAGATTTCCAGGACCATCCAAACACAGAATTTACAGATCAACTTTTGTAAGGAAATAACTATATCCTTTATAGTGTACACTTCTATATGCTGCTATAGGCTACAACTACACCATACAAACCATGGCATGTTCAGAAAATGTTTGACTTCTTTTCCATGTAAGAAGGTTAAAAATACAGTTTATTCTCTTTATATTGGGATAATAGCATCTTCTCCTATGTTGCTTTATTCCTCATCTGGAGGTTTCTGTCTTCTGCCTCTTTTGCTTTCTCCACACCTGATCTCATACTTGATCCTCTTCCTCCCTCTGTGTTTCCTTCCACACCAAGGATGGATGATTTTACTTTGCAGCAAAGCTTGATCCCCTCATTCACAAACAGCATCATTTAATCTGACTGTCTCAGATGCTGTGATATCATAGATTCTGGATTACATTCCCTGTTGTACCATTTAAACAATCTTGGGTAAAAAAAAACCCCCTGAAGTGTTGCAAACTTCTCCCCCCCCAACCCTCCCCCAAAGTATCTAACTGAGGTTTATGCAAAGCAGACCAACTGAAATTCATACCTCTAGGTTTGTCTGATCTATTAAACGCAAGAGATAAGAGAAATTTTGTGTGTGTGTTACAAGAATGTTCTGCACAAAATGCTTTTTAGAGGTTGTTGTTGTTTAGTCATTTAGTCATGCCCGCCTCTTCGTGACCCCATGGACCAGAGCACGCCAGGCACTCCTGTCTTCTACAGCCTCCCGCAGTTTGGTCAAACTCATGCTGGTAGCTTCGAGAACACTGTCCAACCATCTCGTCCTCTGTTGTCGCCGTCTCCTTGCGCCCTCCATCTTTCCCAACATCAGGGTCTTTTCCAGGGAGTCTTCTCTTCTCATGAGGTGGCCAAAGTATTGGAGCCTCAGCTTCACAATCTGTCCTTCCAGTGAGCACTCAGGGCTGATTTCCTTCAGAATGGAGAGGTTTGATCTTCTTGCAGTCCATGGGACTCTCAAGAGTCTCCTCCAGCACCATAATTCAAAAGCATCAATTCTTCAGCAATCAGCCTTCTTTATGGTCCAGCTCTCACTTCCATACATCACTACTGGGGAAACCATAGCTTTAACTATATGGACCTTTGTTAGCAAGGTGATGTCTCTCCTTTTCAAGATGCAGTCTAGGTTTGTCATTGCTTTTCTCCCAAGAAGCAGGTGTCTTTTAATTTTGGGACTGCTGTCACCATCTGCAGTGATAATGGAGCCCAAGAAAGTAAAATCTCTCACTGCCTCCATTTCTTCCCCTTCTATTTGCCAGGAGGTGATGGGACCAGTGGCCATGATCTTAGTTTTTTTGATGTTGAGCTTCAGACCATATTTTGCTCTCTCCTCTTTCACCCTCATTAAGAGGTTCTTTAATTCCTCCTCACTTTAGATCCTATATTCCTAAAGCTGACTGAATACTGATCATGGATTTCCATTATCAAGTGTTGGCAGCCACAATGCATATGAGATTTTTTGCATATTTGTGTTATTTAATCTTTTGGAATTTGCTGGAAAAAGCCAAAAAAAAAATAAAAAAATGAATACCTCTGACACATTGTACAACTTTTTTATTAGTTCAACACTGAAGTACTACCAGAATACCCTCTCCCTGGTGTTTGCTGTGAAAGAAATCAATGAGAATCCCAACATCGTACCAAATATGAGCTTTGGGTTCCACCTCTATGATAGCTTTGTGAATACAAGGATGACTTATCAGAACACCCTGAAACTTCTGTCCATCACAGAAAGGATTTTCCCCAACTTCAAATGTGACAAGAAAAGAAATATTATAGCTGTTATTGGAGCACTTGACTCTGACATCTCCCTTCACATGACTACAATCTTAGGCATCTACAAGATTCCACAGGTATAACAATGGTAATAGTAATATAGTAATAGTAATATGGCACCATCTGACTGGGTTGAGCCAGCCACTCTGGATAGCTTCAACTAAGTTATAAAACTACAGTATAGCATCAAACATTAAAAAACTCCCCAATACAGGGCTGCCTTCAGATGTCTTCTAAAAGTCAGTTGTTTATTTCCTTGAAATCAGATAGGAGAGTGTTCCACAGGGTGGGTGCTAGCACTGAAAAGGCCCTCTGCCTGGTTCCCTGTAACTTCATTTCTCACAATGAGGGGACCACCAGAAGGCCCTCAGATCTGGACCTCAGTGTCTGGGATGGATGATGGGGTGAAGATGCTCCTTCACTTATACTGTGCTGAGGCCGTTTAGGGCTTTCAAGGTCAGCACCAACATTTTGAATTGTTCTCAGAAACGTACTGGGAACCAATGTAGATACTTTCTCACTGGTTTTATAAGGGTCTCGGCAGCCACTCCCAGTCACCAGTCTAGCTGCCGCATTCTGGATTGATTGCAGTTTCCAAACCACCTTCCAAGGCAGCCCCACGTAGAATGTATTTCAGTATTCATAATGGTAAATAGTGAGTATGTGAGCTGTGAAGCTTTTCTGCCTCTGGTACAATAATTATCTTCTGGTATTCCATAATTTCTTTTTACCTTGGTTCATTTTTCTGAAAAAAGAAGTGATAAAGAAAAATACAAAACTTGTTCAAAAGTGTCTGGTTTTCTCATGTTTTTGATAAAAAAATCGTACCTGGAAAAATAAATAGTTCACTCACTGATATTCATGCACCAGTAGGAATCCTCCTCCCAGGAAGATGCACAACACCAGTTGCGAGAGGGCAGAGAAACGATGCTACGCAACTACTGCTGGAGATACGCACTAGGTTATGGTGAAGTCAACATGCATCCATAAATGGATTCTTCCCTCTTTTTGCCTTTTTCTATTCCACAAGGATGTTGAAGGAATGGCCATGATGGCCCCTCCCAACCAGCTGGTTTGATGTCTTCAAGTACTAGTTGATCTGTGAAGGTCCGCTTCTCTCTGTGTCTTATGTTTCCAATCTCAAGGGATGACCACAAAATTGGTGGTGCCCCGCCCCCATTCTAAAAGGCCTCGCAAGAATAAATCAGCATTTCAGTGTTCATTTCTCCTATTTTTGTAAGCATTTTTGCCTAATCCACAAATTTTCCAGCAATTTCTCCATGGTAGTATATTTTTGAATTTTATTTTGACTAAGAATGGCACTTTTATGACCAGTGTCTCTTAATATATGCATTTATTTTTGGTTGGAGAAGGGAAGTGCAAAATTCAGAAGAGAAGAAATGTCAACAGATAGTTGCATTTTGGTTCACAAATTGTTTCTGGAATTCTGAGTTAGGTAAATTTTCATTCAAATGTGAACCCAACTGAATTTCTCTCCTATCCCTTGCCGTGCCTCATCAGAAAGGGATGTTGCTTGTCCATATGTTGCCCACTAGCCCCAGCCACTATAGCTCAATGGTCAGGGATGACCACTTGGAGTCCAGGAAGTTCTGGAGGGCCATGAAGTGAACCATGATGTCCAGGTACAAAGAGTTTCTGGACAGACACTCCATCCACAGTTTCGTTGAGCTTTACTTTCTTCCTTCCAAAGATGTAGAACTTGAAGGAAAATGTCCATAGCTTGCACTAGTTTAGTGGTGTATTTCAGGACAAAGTATAGGAAAATGTGAAGGCCTTATTTTGTTACCTTCTATGGGGAGGGGGGATGAATAATAATAAACTGAAGAAGAAGAAGAAGAAGAAGAAGAAGAAGAAGAAGAAGAAGAAGAAGAAGAAGATCCCTCAATTGTTTGGGGCTTTCCATGGAATTAGATGACATTATCTAGTACTTTTAAGGGACGCGGGTGGCACTGTGGGTAAAACCACAGTGCCTAGGACTTGCCGATCGTATGGTCAGCGGTTTGAATCCCCGCGGCGGGGTGAGCTCCCGTCTTTTTTCGGTCCCAGCTCCTGCCCACCTAGCAGTTCGAAAGCACCCTTAAAGTGCAAGTAGATAAATAGGTACCGCTTCATAAGCGGGAAGGTAAACGGCGTTCTGTGTGCTGCTCTGGTGCTGGCTCGCCAGAGCAGTGATGTCACACTCGCCACATGACCCGGAAGTGTCTGCGGACGGCACTGGCTCCCGGCCTCTAGAGTGAGATGAGCGCACAACCCTAGAGTCTGACAAGACTCGCCCCTACGGGCAGGGGTACCTTTACCTTTACCTTTACCTTATCTAGTACTTTACTGCAGAACCGAAGTAGTTAATCAAAAGGGTAAGTCTCCGAAGAAAATGACAGTATTGTTGGCATAAGAGAACTAAAGATTTGAGCCATAATAATACAATATAATAATAATAAAATATAATAATAATAATAATAATAATAATAATAATAATAATAATAATGGCTTCCAACAAAATATTAAAAATACAATTAAACATCAAACATTAAAAACTTCCCTAAACAGGGGTTCCTACAAGAAGTCTTTTAAAAGTCAGGTAGTTGACTTCATAGAATCATAGAATCATAGAATCATAGAGTTGGAAGAGACCACAAGGGCCATTGAGTCCAACCCCCTGCCAAGCAGGAAACACCATCAGAGCACTCCTGACATATGGTTGTCAAGCCTCTGCTTAAAGACCTCCAAAGAAGGAGACTCCACCACACTCCTTGGCAGCAAATTCCACTGTCAAACAGCTCTTACTGTCAGGAAGTTCTTCCTAATGTTTAGGTGGAATCTTCTTTCTTGTAGTTTGGATCCATTGCTCCGTGTCCGCTTCTCTGGAGCAGCAGAAAACAACCTTTCTCCCTCCTCTATGTGACATCCTTTTATATATTTGAACATGGCTATCATATCACCCCTTAACCTCCTCTTCTCCAGGCTAAACATGCCCAGCTCTCTTAGCCGTTCCTCATAAGGCATCGTTTCCAGGCCTTTGACCATTTTGGTTGCCCTCCTCTGGACACGTTCCAGTTTGTCAATGTCCTTCTTGAACTGTGGTGCCCAGAACTGGACACAGTACTCCAGGTGAGGTCTGACCAGAGCAGAATACAGTGGCACTATTACTTCCCTTGATCTAGATGCTATACTCCTATTGATGCAGCCCAGAATTGCATTGGCTTTTTTAGCTGCCGC